CTAGATATGAGATTAAATTCAACGCTTCCATTGACTCGTCAGTCCAATCGTGTTCGCTGGTATTGGCAGTATTTTTAACTAGGCCGCAGTTTTAAAGGCCCATACAGGCATTCCTGGGCACTCCAATTATCCAGAACTCATTTGATTGAAGGCCTATTCAATCTTTGAGTTGGTAGGCCTTAATTATTTTCTTCTGTATTTTTGTATATTTAACGAAACATATATCGTTGTGTTGGGTTCCTAATAGTTAGGTATAAGGTTAGTAGTAATTAAAGGATTGTTTGCGTTTATAGAAGTAAATGTCAAGGAACATTTTTATATTTATTTAGTCCAAAATTATTGTGTTTTTGGTGTAGTTCGTTAAGTATATGTTGGACAAACTATTGTTAAATTTTCTGAGCTTGTATTGTATCTGATATTATTTTTTAAATGACGTTAATTAACTCCATTTCTTTGTCGCGTTGTGGGAAACGTTACTTAGTTCGAAAACCAACCTCATGGTGTTGAATTAAAGATACTTTTAGGTCCAATGTTACTTTCTACGTATGGTCATGATACCTTGACCTCCTTTATCAAAAATATCCTCTTTGTTTCCTCTCTTCCATTGTCATGCGAATTCCTTCAAGACTCGTTTGCCTAACGAGTTTTGGGACCGACAGAGATGGAAGATATAGATAGGCTATTGTAAAAATGGGACGGAAACCATTTGATAGGAGATAGGCATCTTTTGCGTTTTGTAAAATGCTTTTGTTTGTGTTTTGTTTTGAGTGAAGTGTTACCTAGTGATATTATTGAAATAGTAGTTTAGAGTAGTGATTGATGTCCTATAAAAGGCTCGTACACAAAACTGCAAAATGTGAATTGCTGCGATGCGATTTCTTGCGACAAGGCGTCTCCCGGGGTGACCATTGCTTCGAGGACCGTCAACCGTACTAAACGTATTTTAAATTGAAAACTAGGTCTTGACATGGATAGTAAAAAGAAGTGTGCACTTCTATTATAGCTTAGGAGATATAGGAAAAAGAAACAAAGAAGATTTTGGGAAGATAAGATTTCGATGCGATGCAAATAAATTTGCAAGTTCTTGCGATGCGTAGGAGGAACTCGCACATTCGCATCGCAGTTTTGTGTGCTAGCCCAAAGTGCATCTAAGTTAATTCTTGTTAGACCATAATGTTGTTTAACATATCTCGCAAAACGTGGATCCTGCAAGACCACAGTCAAGATCCTACCGACTCGCTTTTTTATATTATGAGACTACAACTTTTGACTTAGACTTAGACAAATAAGCCCATCATCTTACTTATATTAGTATAAATCAATACCTACCCGTTAGTAAACATCAATCTGAAACAAACAAGCGCTTCAACTTTCGTAAATTAGTACAAACGAATCAATACTTAGTCAGTAAACATGTACAACTCAACACTCAGAACACATTAGAATGAAAACAAAACAAAACAACCTGACAAATAACAAAGCGAATGGCCGCTGTAACGATTTTATTAAATTCCCGTGTACATTACAATAGGTAACGTAATCCGGATTCACCCGCGGCTTTGCCTCAAATCCCCGCCATTGCAACCTCCAATTACTTAGGCAAACGCCTTGAGATGCTTAATTACAGCTATCCTTTCGTATTTAAATTTAACTTTGCATTAATGTTCGTGGAATATGAAAGAGAAAAGATGGCGGCTTTTAGTTAGTTGCTCTGTAATCATATTTGTTTTAGTTTCTAGCTAAAGTTTTATTTGTTGGCGATATGTTTCTGTTTGGAAATTATTGCAAATTCAAAGGGTGTAGGAAACCATTGACTTCAGACGTCAATGTTTATGTTTGTTTCGGCAAATAGGTTTTTAGGGCTCCTGCTTTTATCATCATCATCATCATCATCAGCCCGTGTTCGTCTACTGCTGGGCATAAGTCTCTGCAATAGCACGTCACTGAGTTCAGTCTTCAGTTCTCATCCAACCACTGCCAGGTACCTTGCAGAATATGTTGTGACGACATCCTTCTCTCCCAGTACAAAAAAATATTAAAATCTTAACGTTAGAGGCAAAGAATCATATATAACCATACCACTTTCAAGTTACTATAATTATTGATTGCTAGTATCACAAAAGTCAATTAAAATAGAATAAGTAATATCCAAATCACCATAATAAATTGAAAAGAAAATCTACACCAAAAAAAGCAACTCACATTATTAAATCTCGCCACCTTTCTACTATATTGTACTTTAATATCTCCAGACTAAAGAAAAAGTACTAAGCTCACTTAAATCAAAAGGAGCAGCTGTATATCTATGCAGGGTGTATAAGACGAAGATATTTCTTTGTGGGTAACGCCACGTCAGCAATACGACTGTATCTTCTTTGGTAATTACTCGGCAACTCGCCCCAGGGATGTCTGTACTAGAACGAAGTATTATGATGAAGTGGATGCGGTATTTTGAATGAGGTGTATTTATTTCCTGTGATATCTTACGGTATACAGATGTTGTTCTATGGAGTTGGGGTATCTATTCTTCTGTATAGTCCTTCTTACTATTATTTCTTTTTGACGTATATCTTTTGCCGCCTGTTTTTGTTGCCTTTTATACAATGATTCGTTTCTTAAGTTGGTTGTTTATTAATTGACAGAATTTGCACACTGATTTTGTTTTTAGCAACAGATTAATGGTATCAATTTTCTTATATCTATTCAAAATCTTAGAATACTGTAAATTTATCATTACGTCAGTATATTACATCTATTTCCAACGCTCTCACAGGCATCAAAATTTCGTCGATTAATGTTCGCCACCCGCGCTTGGTAACACGATACCTCCCCGACTCATGCTACCCGTCCTAACAAATCTAAATAAGCCACGTTCATATCCATACTCTCATTCTTTCTTCGTAGAATATCACCAGTTAATAAAGGCAACTAATGAAGGGCTTTCTTTTAGCTACCGTCTTTACTTTGCGTTCCGATGCAACGCCCCAGGGACTAATGTTGCCAACATTTGACTTTGAAGAATTAATATAGCGCTTTCTGTAATGTATTGCCAATTTATTGGTTAAAAGAAGAATGGAGTCCTAATGTGATGTATCGCAAGGTGGAGTGTAATGGAAATGAATAATGATGCATTGTGATCGAGTAGCGCATCAGTAATTTCATAATAGTGGCGTCGTTTGAAAACTCATTCTAGATAATGTTGTTTTACTTGTCAATGAATAGAAAATAGAACTTTTATAGATGTTCACATTCAAATATTAACTGGATTTTAATTGAATTTAAAATTGGAAATACACATAAAAACTATCTATCACAGAAGATCTAAAACTAACACTGAACTACAGCCGGTGCCTATAATAAAGGAAACAATTTTCTCCTTCCTAATAATGGTCAAAGAAAACACAATTTCTAGACGAAATTAAAATTCCCTCGAAAAAGGGCAACACTAATACATTTTTAATTCTGGTAACCTCAAGAAAACGTGGCTCGTAGATCACTGCGTCTCATGCAAACAGAATTACAAATTCATGAAAATGTTAATAATTTTTACTGAGGTAGAATTTTTTCTTTTCAGACTGATAGAAGGTGGGATTTTATAAGGGAGGTTCCAGGAGGGTGTTTAAGTAGATATACTGTAATTTGAATCATAATACGAAAGCCATTATTTATTTTAAGTAGGGAACGAAATGCGTGATTCTTTTTACGTTGGATTTGTTGATAGCGTTTGATGTTAAGTGTGTTAGAAGTTTTGAGGGCCCTCGCATTGTTGAAGTTAGTGGGTCAGGACAAATGTTATTGGAATCTTTGTTTGTATCCTGAGAGCTTTCTTTATCTATTACGTCTTGCTATTCATCACCATTTAATATTTCTTTGTTTTGTTTTTAGGTACTGTCAATTGGTTTTAAATTTTGATTTGAGTTGCAATTATAATCACCTAAACTTTGAAAACAATTCAGTGTTACTTACATGTGTCTACTTTTAAGTGCTGAAGGTGTTCAAAATTTGCGTCATTTTAAATTTACTACTTACTGTTTGTTAAATTGAACACCACCGAATTTAGTAATTGCAATTAAGATTCTCTGTAACATGTTTTTGTTATTAACATGTTTTTGTTAGGTTGAGCTGTAAGTTCCTTACGTGTATGGGCGGTGCACACACGTCCGCCACAGCTCTGACAATTTCTGTTTGAAACCTATTACAGATATGGTTCACTGTGCCAAAGCTCATTGCATTCTCACCCGGGGTCCTCTATATATTAACATGTTTTTATTCGTCGTCCATACATCTTTTTAATACATTGCCAAAACATACCTGTAAAAAATGGATACAACTTTTAATATATAACAACCAACACTTCCCAATCAATATCATCTCCCACACATCCAACCCCAACTTTTTGCGACCGTCTGATAAATAAGTGCCATCATAACTCCGACCTCCTTCATAGTTCCAACACAACACTCAAACACGTTTCCACAAAAATGCTTCCACATTTTCTTATCCACACGGAACCACCAAATTCTTAGACAAACCATACACCAGAATCAATATCCATCTTCCTATATGTCACGTTCGGCAAACACGAGGCAACATCTAAACGGTCTCGGAGCAAATAAATATTTCAGTGTAGTTTGTATTTACGCGACGTTTGAACAAACAGTCCTTAGAGCCTTCAGACTATGCTGTTATAGTTTTGGAGTGAGACTGCGACCCTCTATGGAGAACTGAATTCTTGATCAAATATTAGAAATTCAGTTTCTTCGTTTCGTTAAGTACTTAAGTGTTTGTCGATGAAAGTGTCTTGGACGATTCAATTATTTTTAGTGGACACACAAATAAGAAACTGCTTTAGTTTAATTGAAATTTCTTATTTGTGCAAATATTTTGAAGGTGCTTTTTATTTCTTTTAGAATGTTTATAATTATAAACAGTATAACTGAAGAAATGTATCAGACGGTTCAGAGTTCTTAAAGGTCTTTAACATTAAACCTTTTTTGCAGTAATTGAAACCGGGGACGAGCCAGCAGCATGCAACGGGAGACGGACTTTGGTCCTTGCCAACCACCAGAGCACAGCCGACGTACCCATGTTAATGGCAGCCTGGAATCCAAGACCTGGAATACTGCCCAACCTCATGTGGATCATGGATAGAGTCTTCAAGTTCACCAACTTCGGCATCGTCAGCGTGTTACATGAAGATTTCTTCATACAAGCGGTAAGTGATTTTAAATTAACAATTTTCTTTGATTTTTGACCCGCGTTTGCATATCGTAAATTGTTAGTACAATATTTTGAATTTGAATCTTAAAAGGTTGGTGATAAAACTGAAGATGACCAGTAAAATTTACCACGTTTTAAACAGAGAATATTGAACAACAAAACAATGACTGATCCATCAAAGAAACAAGAATCTTTATTACACATTTACTGTACCATCTCAATAACTAATTTATATCCTTTCACTTTATGGACGTTTACAACAAAATCACCGGGCCAGGTGTCTCCGTAAAACTAAGCTTTTACATCCAATCGTAAAATCTAATCGTTTGACCCACTTGGGTAACCAGGTCGTGCTGTCAAAGGCCAATATAGCCCTAATTATCGTACACTATAAATTAGTACTGGTCGTCAATCTTGATCGTATCACTGTTACAGTTTTTAATTTGTGTCATCGGCTGTATTTGCGTTAATGGATGAGCTATTGTTCTTCGCTGATAACATTTTTGTTGGCATTTATCTTTTGTATAATGAAAAAGTCTTCATTGATTTTATTGTCTTGTGTCTTATACGCCTCAACTTTAAGTTCAGTTTTGGCCGTACCATCATTATCGCAGTCTGTAGCTTATAGCATTTCTTTCAATAAGGTTTTTGCTCCCACTCTCATAAAACATAATTTTTTATTACATAATTGCCTTTCATTAAACTTTTCAACCGGTTCATCTATTTAAACTGTTTCACAAGTGTTGGTTAGAATATTCTCTCAAATTCATCTCGCCATCAATTAGGGGGCGCTAATAACCCATCGATAATTAGCTCATCCGGGATCATGTTCCCACGATACACAAATATCCCGGACTAGAGGTGCCATGTGTACCGGGCACAAGATTTAAGGCGTCCCATGTTACGCCCCTTGACGTGGACTTCAAAAGTCATCTTTCCGGGATGATGCGCATTTTACCTCTAAGCTTTTGGACTAAGTAAATGTTAAACCTCATTTGAAGTTTGAAAAAGTGGTACAGCTGATTATGTTGACCAATACCTGGGGTACTTACATCATCACCATCTTCATATGTACTTTAAAACTGCCATATTTGTCCATGAAGTCCGTGATCATTTATTATTGCAAAAATATTTTGAAATCAGTTAAGAATCTAATTGCAAATATCCAATTCATCCAAATCAACAAGCATTACCTTTTATATTAGTTTATTAAAGGCTAGTTACAAACTATAACCACTTACTCGCATGTAATAGTTCATACAATTACTTGCAAGCCCGTTGTTTGATTGTTATCGCATTAAAAGCACACATTCCGTTTCGTCTCGCAGATCCATTAAACATTCGTGGCATACAGTTAAATGAAGCTCTTTCACTACATACATTATAAATGTACTTTGTTGCGTCTTTGTTATATTAAATAAATCCATGATGGGTTTATTAGATAGTGTTAATTTGAAATAACTGTTTAATTAAGAGATGGGATTGTATCAATATTTTGTTTTGGGCCTACGTTCCAATATTGATTAGTCTTTGAAAGTGCAGTGTCGATCATGTTTTGTAGAGATTAAGAAATCTTTAACACACAATACATATCTATATAGATATGGAGAAAGCATAAATTAAAAAATAAATTACGATTATAGTAACCCTATTTCGACTACGAATAAGACGATAGCTGTTTTTAGTTTTTAAACGCTCCTAAGTGCCTTTTTCACAGTAAATTCAAAAGTTATCAAATAAAAGGTCAAGCAAATTGAAGATTTGACGGTCTGGATACCTATTACAGTTGAGAATTTGCTACATGATAATGATAAAACCCTGGCACTAAATCAAAAGAAATACACGGAGATGCACATTGGACACAAGACGGCACGCGCATTAGATTATAACATCAGGAAGCTGAACCTTTCTTTTTTCACACCACATGGTTTTAATGCAATTCATATAAATGTATGCAAATATCACAGCGAATGTCACAAACACATGATTAATTGCGGATAAACAGCAGCTATTTACAGCGCTCGTATTAGCTGGACAGTTTAGTCAGCGCTTTATTTATGAGTTGGACACAATTTGCCCACAATTGGCCGTTACACTGACGTGATTCACTAACAAAAGCCAAGTGTGGGGATGTAATGCGGTTTTCGATTGCGATACGGGTACGATACGATTTTTATTAATAAGCATCGTCTCATTGGCGTTGTTTGGTAGATGGTTTTTTTTTTTAAGGGGGGAAAATCATTGAATGTCTGCTCCCGCCTGGGTGAGGCCGGAGGGAGTGTCAGACTCTTACTGACTAAAAACCACCCTGTTCCTTCTCCTGCACATCGAGCCGGAGCCCCGGTAACCCGTTAGGTTCTCCGCGACTCAACTAAGGGTCTTGAAATGTAACAGAGATCAAAATTATTGTGCCATGAACTTTAAATGTAATGTGCGAAAGACCGAGGAAGATGCTTGTGTTTTTCAGGGGTTATGTAAGGTGTATGCTTAAGACGTGATTTTCCTGTTAACAATTATCTCCTTTTTAAATTTTTATACCAAAGTATCAGTCACTTTATGTCCATTCTTCATTCGCACAAAAAAATCAAAAGCAAATCTCGACCTAATAAGCTCAAGCGCTACGTGGTAAAGTACATTTGTGTTAAACATTAGTCCAACACTACATTCTTCATTCTAGAAGTTTATGCCTATCATGTTCACCTGTCACTAAGTTTGGAAGAGAAACCGGTTGAAAAAAATCTGCGGTGCTTGTGGAGTTAATGATGAACAGAATTCTTTCCTTCTTACTATTACTTAAAGACTTGTTGGAATATTTAGGATATGTATTCTTTTCTTCAAACTCTGTAATGATTTATATTTTATTCTTTTGATTGTTGTTTACAAAATATGTTTTTACTATTTTTATTCAATATTTTGCAGTATATGGCAATAGGCTCACCCCTTATTACGTGGAACTCATAACATAAATAGTGGAAAGTGAGTGTTACTTCTGTGTGCGACTCTGCCTACCCCTTCGGGGATAATAGGCGTGATGTTATGTTATGTATTTTGCAGTAATACATTTTCATGATTTATTTATTTTTTATATTTATGATTTATATTTAATACAAGTTACCTAATCGTGACGACACCGGCACGATTACCAGTCGTCCTGTATAAACAGTAGTCGCAATCATTCATTGTCTTGAAGCTGTCTTTGTTGTCTCGTTGCTACATTTGTCTCTAAATGTTTTAATGCTTTTAACTAACATGTATATCATAATGTATTGTATGTAGTCTTGTATTAACATAGTATTATGTTCCTTTGTTTACGTAGAATGTATGAAGTTCTGTCAGTGATGTGCGTTAGTAGTGCAAAATTTGGTTTTTGTTTCAAGTTTGAGCATTGTTTCCAAATGATTCGTCAGACTGTTAATACTTTTGGTGTATAAATATAGCTTCAGTACATAACGAATAGCTATCTCACGTGAATAAGTTATATGCTTGATTACGTAGAAAAATAGACATGTTTAATTTTATATTTCGAACTTCGCACCATATAGCAAAACTTGCTTGATGTTGTTCTTGCATAGTATGCACTATGATTCCACCCGCCTTTTCGCGAAAATATAGTCGCTATGTTACGCGAATCGATTCAATCGAAACGCACTTTTTCTAAAACAAAAATCCAAACGCGTCATCTGGCAAAGTTCTCTCCAAAAACCAGTAACCTCAAACATTAAGATTTACATTTTCGCAGTTAATTATTCAAGGAGGGTTTAAAACGCGCCCGCTGCACTCCCTCTAATCCCGGCTCAGATTACTACGACCTCAGTGACAAACATTCAGACTGGGACCTACGATGTACGTGAACGGTTTCAGTAAAGAGGTTATATGGTATTACCTAATATTTCATTGTTTGTTTTATGATGAATCTATAGGTGAAGACTAGTAAGGTGATTGTTGGTTTAGAGTTGGACGGGTAAAGCATAATTCGGCTGTCAATATCGAAATTTTCAGTAGTCTAGTCTAGTTTTAGTATGGTTGATGATGAATCTAGATTACAGTACAGTTAATCAGCGATGCGTTTGCTTAAGTTAGAGCAATTGTACTTGAAACTCAACGTTACTGACAATGAATAGTGAACATAGTACTGCAGATTTTAAGTCGTAAAGTAAATTTCCTGTAATACTCATTAGATTTGCGCTTCGTGCAACTAATATTGGTTATATTTTTAATCCGTTTATTACCGAACAAGTGACTATTGAAAAACTAGAAAAGCCATTAAATTATTCCGTAATCCAGGTGCCAGTAGTAATGCAACCAAAACCACTCAAACAGTTAACTACAGAAAATCAATGTCTTATTAAAAAAACATACAATAAGCGTACCAACGGATGTGACACGTTAATGCCGTACAAAGTTGTTGATGCAGTTGGTTTAGCTTTTATTACGATGCAACAAAGTCTAGAATTAATTGTAGATTGTGGGCTTGATATTGTTAAGGGACTTGGGAAGTGTGTGGTAAAAGTGATAAGAATAATGATTGTAAAGTTTAATGAAACTATTAATTTAGTGACTTCTTATTGTATTGAATGTTGTCTTGTAAAATTCCAAAAAGTCATTGGTTTTTTAATAAGACCATATTTATCTCATGACATATTCTTTTAAGGGTTATGAACCGTGACGGCATTCTTGTTACCAGTCTTATTGTCATTGGCGATATCATAAAAGCTGAATGAGGAACTATGTAGTTCCTTACCTTATTGACAGAACTGACGCAGCACCATTATCTCGCCAGCCAACCGTGGATATAATGATCAAACCGCTTAAGCAGAGAAGACCAATAGAATAGGATAGAATATAATAATTTTATTTCTCAAAAACAAAAAACAAGTATACCTATTATTTAACAAAATATCCAACAGCAGACTGTAACTGTTGATTTTAAAAAGTTGTATGAACATACTTTGCACAAAAAAATACGCATTGTCATTCTAATTACTGTCGTGTAATACCATTCTCGCTGCCGTTTATAACATGTACTACGACAGAAAGTATTAAAAACAATGTTGCATACCCCTCCCGAAGCAAGTTTACGACCCCTTCCCCCTTTTATAGACACAACTAATAAACTTGAATCGCCTTGCTACCGGTCACGAGACACAATTTTAAAACGATATAAATGCATCCCTACAACCATACACTTACAACCTTATGGAATTCCATTATGGAATATACCATAATGAGAGTCCAGTATTGAGTTTTAATGATTTTATGCTTGTATTGAAATTTCCTGTGATGTGTGGTGTTGGATTTCAAAGATTATGGGTATTCATGGATTGGCGCGTGCCTGTATTTTATTATTATTTATAAATGTGATATAATTGTAATATCTGGTTTTGTTGCCAAGGAGATAGTTTTGATCTGTGATTAGATCTTTCCAGATTGTAAAAACAAAACTCAAACTCAAACTCAAAGTCTTTATTTGCATGTTAAGGTAATACATACAGGTCCTAAATGAAATAACAGGCACAGGCCTTTTTCAGGCGTTGCAAATTTTAGGGCTGTCACTAGCTTATTATAAATTACATTTGCTTAACATTTATTTCTTTAACATATTTATTGATTAACAATTAACCCAGTATGGTTGTAAGTAAAATCAAATAAGAGTTCAAATGAAATAGGTATATGAAAATACATAATTTTTGGTCTCCCAAAACAACCCTTTAACATAAACAACTCAATAACGTCAAACGAATAAATAATTGAAAATATTTCTAATTAAAGCACAAACAAACTGGAGTTTTAATTACACACACAAGTAATTGATTAATTAATTTTTAATCAAACATACACCAAATGTTTTCTAATTTCAGCTTTATTTATTTGTGTTTAGAGTAAAAAATCAGGGCATTGAAGCTTATTTATCAAACTGTCAAAGTTTAGTTATTAATTGGTTTGCGACACCGGTATTGGACATTCATCATCCAAGATGGCCG